AACAGAGAAGGTGGATGAGGTATCATCTTTTATTGGACCAGCTCCTGTTGGTGAGAGAGCACAGAGCTCTTCTTCATGTCTGGGAAAGGTATTCCAAGCATTGCAGCTAAATGTAAAGAGGAACAGATTGTGTAGCATAAATAGCACATATTCTAAGATCCCATTTAAGTCAGAGTGGCCCATTAACATATCATCAGTCGTGGAACAAAAAAGAGGGGGTTATAGTGAGTTACAGCTTGTTGTAATAAGCCATAAATCCAGTGTCACACTGTCCAGTCAGTAATTTTTCATGTTAGCAAAGTTATGAATTTAAGCTCCCAGCTCAGCTTTTGAAACTGCAGTTGATAGCAATGGGAACAGGAGGGACAACTGCAGTATTACAGTGTTCCATTTTGTCCATTTTATTTTACTCCACCAAAAATAGACGACACTTTGGGTGCTTCATAAAAGTTTTAAAACAGCCCATAAAAGCAGAAAATGTTTCACTGAAAAAGAGAACAGTTTTAAAAAATATTTAAAACATTAATTTCACTTTTCCTGAAAAATAACCAAAACATGCAAAGTAATTCTTTCAGGAATGTAATGCTGATTTGTTTACTAGAAAATGTACCCACCAGTGTTGCTCAGGTCCTCAACTCAATTAACTTTTGGTTTTTGGAAAATAAAACGAAAATGTTCATGCTTCATTGGAAGCATTGCTCAGGGTAGGGCTAGGGATGAGGGTTCAGTGTGCAGGCTGCCCCGGGAAGAGAGGACTACCCCAGCCCTCTGTCACAGCAGCAGCTTGGGGCCAGGTAAAAAGTACCTCTCCATGGCTACTGCAGCTGGGGGAGGGGTGCATGTCTGCTCCTCAGCCAGAGTGAGGAATGCAGCAAACTTTGCACTTTCCGCTCACTCCCTGATGAAGGAGAACAGCCAGCAGTGTCCTTGTATGAATTGAGGGAGTGAGAGGAGCTTCAGACCCCCTTCTGCCCGCCCCCCCCACACACTCCCTAAAGGATGGGGGGGGGCAGAGACTCAGGACTGGGGTAGTCCTGGATTGGGAAGCCCCTTTCACCTGCCTGCAGATTCTCTTTTCTATATGGTTTTATGGGAAGCAATCCCATTTCAGGCACATCCAACATCCTGACCTTGCTTTAAATTAGGATAAGAGGAAACTGCATATCAAATGCAGTGGTCCTAGCTCTTACTGTTTAAGAGGAGTTCTTGGACAAACAGACAGGTGGACAGGCAGACAAACTGGCAGGTGGACAGACAAATTCTCAGATATGTAGTAGATTGAGTTAGGTAACCGGAACAGGCACAACTGTCTCTTTCATTCAGGCAGAAAATGTATGCAATGAAACATTTCAGTAACTATTCATACTGATGATATGGGCTGGTAAATTGGTCAATAGTCTACTGAAACAAACCCCCAGAGATGCTGTCATTTCCTGCACATTTATAGGAAGAGCCTTCCAAGCATTTATCAAATGGAGGAAAAGAAAAGAAAACGGAAAACAATTCTGATTAGCAGTTGAATCTACTGGAATAATGGAGACTGCACAAGATTGTGGGAATTATTATAGCTGCTGCCTGTGTCAAAAATCATAGTGCTCACAGAATGAATCTGAATGAAAACAAAGAGAAGTAACACTACAGACAGGGAACTTGAATGTTAAAGAAGAGGGTATTGGGCTGGCCTTACCATGAGGCAAACTGAGGTGGCCGCCTTAGGTGCCAGACAGTTGGGGGGAGGGGAGGGGAAGAGGGGTGCCACTAGGACCCAGAGTGTAGAAAGTTGTGTCTGCTGCTGGTGCATATGTATTTTCTCTGCACCACAGAGATGGTGGAGTGCTGTGCTGGAGGAAGGAGGGTGGAAGAGACAGAACAGCCAGGCAGGAGAAAAGGGGGCATGGGGGCATCATTTGAGCTTCTCGCCTCAGGTCCAGACAGGAGAAAAGTGGGTATGGGGGCATCATTTGAGCTCCTGCTTCTCGCCTCAGGTGCCAAAATGTCGTGGGCTGGCCCTGAGGGTGTATGTTTTTACAAGTGTGTTTTCAATTGCTTCAGTCCTACAGACCAGACAATTTAGAAGCCAGCTGCTAGCAAACCTGGAACTTAGTCCCCTAAAAGGACTTTTGAAGAACTTTTGCGAAACACTACTCAATAGCAAAAAGATCTCCTGGATTTTATAAGTACCTACTTCAATTATTGCATTTCTTTAGAAATATTAATTATTGTCCAGCCTTCTCAGCTCAGTCCTTCCAATGTTACATGTAGATCTGTGGCTGTTCTCTAGGGACATATTCCTTTATCTCAGATAAACACATGTAATGCAAATCAGAATTCTATCAGAAAGAGGTTTTGAGAGCTGTAACATTACACCTGTGTGTAGGGCAGAATGTATTGAAAGGCCAAATATCTGTGCCATGCAGCATCAGGTGATTGTTTTCATAATATTATCAACTTCACACACAGGCCCTCATTTATCACTGTATTATTCCAGTTTTACACTGGTAACTCCACTGATCTCAACAGAGTCACATTGGCATAAAACTGGAGTAATATAATGATGGATCATATCAGCAGTACCTTGTTTTAACATAATGGAAGTCCAGATTATCAACAACTGTGATACTGTTTATTGTCTGCATAGGAAGTTCTAAATGGATGCATTATAAGAATATAACTCTGTTGACCAAAAGCTTGGTTCACATTTCCCTGGTTTTCCCCCAGAATTCATGAATGTAATATAGCCAGTTAAAACAAAATGGACTTGAAACCATTTTGATTTGCAGTTAAATAATATCGAACCTAAAGATTGGAAAAAGGGCTGGATTCTGTAGGACATAACATAGGAGCTTAATAAACATATATCATATATACTTATGTATTGGGATGTGTTTTACAACCTTTTTCAAAAATGCATAACAGAGAAATTAATTTTCAGAGAGACGTGTTGCTACTTTTTAAGATTTGATCATCCCCTCCAAAAAAAAAAAAAAAAAAAAAAAAAAAGCAAAAGGCAAGGAAATAGATCAGAGTTACAGTCCATTTGCCATTTTATACAATATGAATTAAAAGCTACCCAGCAGAACTTTAACACAGATTTTCCTGGCATTTGCTGGATTTATACCACAAAAATTACATGATTAAAACTCAGTGGGTAAATTTTGCCCTCTGGTAACTGGTCTCATCTCTTACTGGATGATTTGAGGTTACTTTTTATTCCTTTCAAATTTGCTAACATGCTCCAAGGAGCACCACTGGCTCTAACAGAACTCAGGCTGTGTCAAGACTGCATCCCTCTGTCGACAGAAGGATGCAAATCAAGCATGTTGAAATTGCTAATGAAGCAGGGATTTTAATATCCCATGCTTCATTAGCATAAACATGGCCACCACTTTCTTCCAAAATAGAACTTTAAAAAAAAAAAAAACAGAAGTCTAGACGCAGATCTGTCGAAAATAAACCCTTTTTTCCTGACTTTTTTTTTTAAAAAAAAACAGCAGTCTATATTTTGAACTGTTTAGATTGCAGTTTATCAGTAAAACCAAGTTGTATTCAAGATTTCAGAGCTACGTGCTAGCACTGATGTGATTTCTGCATTATAATGTACATGACAAGTCAGATTTAGCCTAATTGTTATAATAGTTTAATTCTCAGACCTTTACAACATTCCTATTATAGCTTTTTAAGGGATCATCATCTTGTGACCTGTGTTCCTAGGTAACTTTACTTATCTGAGAAGATCGACAAAAAGGTGTAGTCTAGACCCAGCCTCAGGAATTATCCAGAACCCACTGATGTCAATGACAATTTTCCAATTGACTATTGTGGATTTAGAATCAGTCCCAAGAACGCAGTTTGTCAGAGAGAGGAAATTTCCCAGTTGATTTGTAAGTGTTGTTCTTCATCTCCTAAGCTAATTTCTGTGCTACATTACAAGCTCCCAATCTGTTTATGGATGACTTTCAGGACAAATATCAGGGGTTACAGATGCTTAGGATCTAAATAATATTCTATCATATTTGTGATGACTGGAAATTCCTTTTTACTGAGGCTGGAATCTCCTTAAAGTTTAATAAATAATAATAATAATTAATAATAACTCTGATGCTGATAGACATTGTTTAAATATCTGAGGGCAGAACTGAGCCCAGCTACTTTCAGTTTTGTTCCATGATACATGGCCATTTGCAAAGTTAATAACATGAAATGCAGCACAGTCAATAATATGCCCTTTTGTCAATCACTTACACAAGCCTCCTTATGAATTATGAGTGTGAATAAAGCAAATATTAAAGGACACCTTCTTTCTGCACAAATATTTGTGTTAAAGTGCTGCTTGGTGGAGCCAGCTCCACTGGCCTTTTGCCTTCTGCATTCTTAGCTCGCACATCTGCTCCAAAGTCAATCAGCAAGTGCACCAGGTCAGCGTTGGAATTCCTGGCTGCTACGTGGAGAGGAGAGTCCAGACCTTTGCCACCATTTGCACTTGCCCCTGAAAATAAGGTGGGACCAAAAATATGTTCACAGTTACCAAAAAATCATTGCTGGGCCATCCCATTTCCTTGGCCACCTCCTAGGCTTCTGACCAATCTGCACTAATAGAGGTTCCCTTTACCCTCCTGGAATCCTGGGCTACGTCTAGACTGCAAGCCTCTTTTGAAAGAGGCTTTTTTGAAAGATACTTTTGAAAAAGAGCATCTAGACTACAACCAGTACTTTCGAAAAAGCAAGCTGCTTTTTTGGAAAGAGAGTACCCAGGCAGTCTGGATGCTCTCTTTCAAAAAAGCACAGTTTGCATTACATGGTGCCTTTTTTCGAACGAGCACTTTCGAAAAAAGGCATTATTCCTCGTGAAACAAAGTTTTCCGCAGTTGAAAAAGCTGCCACGTTCTTTCGATTTACTTTCAAAAGAACGCAGCAGCAGTCTAGACGCAGGGGAAGTCTTTTTGAAAAAAGGCCAGTTTTTTCGAAAAAACCCTGTAGTCTAGACACACCCCTGGAGATGAAAGTTAAAAGAGGCTAGATTATGGTTTTAAACCACACCTGTTGTGGGATGAGGAGGACCTGGGAATCACTGAAATCTCCCTGAGACATTCTGCCTAAGGCTGTGCCTCTGCTGTGGGGGACCACACACAGCAGAGTTACCTGCTGTACTCTCTTACAAGCCACAGACTAGTTTGCTGGATGTTGCAGAGCAGGGGGGAGAGACAGCTTCATTTTCAGCCCCCACATCACCTTTCCTAGTGCCTATGGAGTTGCTAGCACTACATGCAGTGCTTCGGTATCCCAGTGTTTGCACAATGCGATTGCACATGCCCAGATCCCAGTTCAGTAGAGTACTGAGGCACATGCCTAACTTTACACTTATGAAGAGTCCCATTGACCTGAGCAGGACTACTTATGCTGCAAGTGAGGCACATACATAAGCATCTTGCTGAATTAGTGAGCACATTTGTGTCTGGCCCTTGCTTAGGTGTACAAAGGATCCATGAATGCAGGGCGAAGTGCACATGTAGTGCTTGAGCTGGACACAACCTAGTTCCTAGGTGGGAATTAAATCTTTAGCCTCATTGACTCACCTGCTCTCCTGGCAACCTCACTTTTCCTTACTAAGACTGTTTTCCAGGTATGGATTCAGGTCTCAGATCCTGGACCAGGCCCAATGCCCCTGGACCATAACAAGGGCGAGTCGAGTGAGGCATTTGCCTCAGGCGCACAGCTGAAGGAGCGCAGAAAAGACAGCTAATACGCTCTCTTCACTCATGCCTCAAGCTACATCACCATCACCACCCCCACCCGTGCTGAGGATGGTCTTGCCTCAGGAGCCAAATTAGCTAGTTAATACAATGAACTACGCTATGAGAGACTTGTGATTAGTGCCCAGTTGCAGTCAGGAGCTGTCAGGGTGGGGAAGATAGCATGTCAGCCTCTGGAATAGATGGGTCCTGTATTGCTCATCAGTTATAGCTCTGGCTAGCTGAGAAGAGGCAGCCTTTCCATGGGTGGAAGTATAGCTCCTGCAGCACACAATCTCCAAGGTAGGAAGTGTAAAGCAGGAAATTATCAAGGCTGCAATAGGGATATGGAGATACCTCTCCTCCCCTCCCCGCGCACATACACCCTCACTCCAGCTCCACCACCAGTAAAAATGTCAAGAAGAACAGAGAGGAAGTTCAAGTGCTAATTCTGTCTCACTGATTTTCCTTGAACTTGAAAATTCCACATGAATCTTTTGTTCATCTCTCTGCCTTCCCAGCACCAGTGTTACAAAATATGTATGCCATGTTTCTGCCTTGTAAACCCTGAAGATTTAAATCAGATAGAATTTCAAAATTTCTTCCAAATTACCCAACTAATTCCAGCCAACCATTTTGTCCTTTTGGGCAGATAACATTAAGGTTGGAGAAGTTCTACAGGATCCTCTGCAGAAGAAAAGGGGAATCTTCTAGACCACAAGAGGTGGCCAGAATCAACCAGACAAATGAGCCTTAAGCCTCAATACTATTTTGTCGGACACAAAAAATGTCTCTAGTGCTGCAGGACCATGAGGGTTTTTAAAAAAAAAAAATTCTAGTATAATGTTACTCTAATTTTATTCTGTATTGCAGCTGGTTGAAATTGTGATGCATTGTGTATAAAAATGGCTTCTCTTAGACCGAAAGGCTACCTTCGGGTAAAGTGTGAGAAAAGCAGAGTTCTGCTTTTGTTTCCTCCTGCTCTCCTCAAATGACTTAGACAAAATATTGTGATAAGTTTTGTAAATGTCACATTGTAACTGATAGTGCTTGGGCTGAGACCCACTGGTAAAATGCAGTACTGATTCATTGTACTAGACTAAATGGGAGGTGTGTGTCTAAATTCCTTCTAGTCAATTTAAAATTCCATCATGATATACAAAGCCACTTATATAATTCAAGTGTTCCAGAACTCCCATGTGTAAACATCCCTAAAATATGGATGCGGTCAGAGTATAAAGAGATCTTACACAAAATAAAATAACAATTTTATTTTATTTTTTACCTGATTCAAGTAACTTCTTGGCACAGTATACCTGCTCATTCTCACAAGCCACATAAAGCGGAGTACCTAGATGTTTGATGTTGTGGTCTATATTTACTCCATTGGATGTGAGGAATTCAACACATTCAGTATGTCCTTAGAGAGGATAAAGGAAGGCCAAATAATAAAAATAAAAGCGGCTCAGATACACCTCCCTCCTCCCAAGTGTAGATCAGCATTGCTCCATTGATTTGACAAGCGATTTTAGATTTTCTTTTTGATCCTCTCCCTGGACCCCAGTATTTGGATATACTCAACATGCCTTTGTCTACCTATCCTGTAATGAATCATTTGGATGAGATGGAGGTGAGAACCAGCAAGTGACTCAGCTCATGGACAACAATAGTCTCAAAGATGCTCATCCAAATAGTAATCTCTGCCATTTTTTATTTCCTGTCCATAATGTAATGTAATGTTATCATGTAATGGAGTAGAGTTTACATTACACATGTGACCAAATTATGCCATGACATCTTCAAAGGAATGCATTTTACTTGTTGGATAGAGTCTACACTGAAAAACAGGAACAGCCAAGCCAAATAAGGGAAGGTTTGTGCAAGAAAGCCCACTTGCTTCCTAGGTTCTTCTCTTTCATTTATTAGCTGAAATATTTTGCTCTCAATGGGGATCTCATTTTAGTATTCCTTTTGCTAGCTAATATGAGATCATTATCCATTCTTAATGGAAAATAGTAGCTGGCCTTTGTTCACCATGAAAGCATTAAAGCAGTCTTTTTTGTCTATAAGACTAAAACAGTAGTAGAAACAGGACTCCTTGCTTCATGAAGTTCTTACAAGGGAATGGAAGTGTCTGTGGAAATTGGTTTTGATTTCCAGCGCTTTCAGAAAATTCTCAGTAATTCTCTCTTCACTGAATTCGCTACGTTTGACAAGCATGTTAATTTAGGAGATGAGAAGTTCAAGTTCAGCTTCCACCAGTGGTAAAACTTGTTACATTGTTTGGTAGAAGGCATGGCAGTAATGTCAGGGCTATGGTAGGTAGAGGCCAGAGCTGTGCTGTTGGTGGGACATTTTCCTCTTTGATGAACACCGCCATTTTGGGGATCAAAGTACCAGATAAAGAAATTCCTGCACCCTTCCCTCCACACCAAATGAGAACAGTTAAGCTGTGGGAAGACAACCCCCTCCTCCCACAGCAGTACTGGTTGGTGTGATGGCTTTGGAGCTAGATTGTATGGTGGAGGAAGTTAAGAGAGATCACAGCACACATATCCAGGACCACAGGAGCTTATTAGGAACTCCCGGGGAGAGTGTCACCAATGAAGACAGGATGTCAGGAACTGAGATACCAGTACTGAGAACAAATATTATAGTTTTGTCAATGATATATTTTACATGGATTCAGTATACATGGATGTATTTTACATGAATTCAGTATACTGACTGATCTTTCTTATATCTAGCTAACTTCAGCTGAAAGCTTTTGGTAACAGGAAAAGGAATTCTAATTCTTGACTGAATCACCTACCTCGTTTAGAAGCTTCATGGATAGGAGAAGCCAAGTCAGATGCTGCATGTGGACTGGCTCCATGCTGCAATAATAGATTCAAACAGCCCACGTTGCCACTGACACAGGCATTGAACAAAGGAGTGTGCCAATCAATAGTAACTCCATTTACCTGAAGGGAAAATGACAGGCAAGTTGTTTCTTTAAAAACAGTAGAGGTCTGGGAATATTTTGACAAGGGCTGGTTGAATATTTTCATCAAAACTGTTTTTTTTCTATGAAAAATTAAGTATTCAATTAAAATATTTTGTTAAGTGATTACCTTTTGTTAAAAATATCAACTTTTCATTGGAAAAAACCTACCCTGTCAAAACTGAAAAACTATTTGAGTCTGAAATACCACTATGCTGCTCAAAGGAGCTGTCTTTGATTATCATGCCTGTATGGGCCAGATTCTCCAACTGGACCACATCTCCCATAATGCACCATGGCTCAGGGCTTCCAGAATATAGCATGGTTGCTTAGCAACGGGGGATATCATAGTGCATTATGGGAGATGTAGTCCAACCACAGAGCACGGCCGATTGAGGAAAACATTAGCAGGAAGCACTTAACTTAGAACTCCCAGGATGCAATATTGAGGTGACGTGTGAATTAACATTTTTTGGTTTTCTATCCAAAATATTCAGTTTTCAATTTGTCACTGAAATGTCAATACTTCCTGCTGGGAAAATAATTTAAAAATATATTTTATATTAGCTCAGATTTTACCATTTGCTTGACTACCAGAAATTACATGAGATTTGCACTCATCACCATTCTGGGCACTTATACATTGTCTCTATTCCTCTCCATTTTATGTGCTTCTTGTGGGGGTTTTTTAGGTGCTTCTCCTGCATACTTACACCCATACTGCATTTTTGCATGTGATTTATCCCACTCACATCAGCAAAACTAATTACATTTCTAAAGTTAAGCATGCACATATGTTTTTGCAGGATTATAAACTCTTTGGGAGAGGGACCATGTCTTCTTATTTGTTTGCTAAGTGCCTAAAACATGCTGAATGTTACAACCAAGATTGGACTAAAGGAGCTCAATATAGTAAACTTCCGATAATCCGGCACCTTTGGGACCCAGGGGGTGCCGGATTATCAGATATGCCGGACTATCGGAAGGGGGGGCTATGAGAGGTCTGGGGTGGGGGGGTGCCACCCCAGACCCCTCATAGCCCCCCCTTCCAACTCTGTCCCAGGGGTCCCCAATTCAGCCACTGCTGGTCAGTTTCAGCAGCGG